TGTCTGTCCTCTGTCCACCATAGGTATCGAAACCCGGTTTCTAGCGTTGTAAGCCCATAGACATACCGCTGTGCCATTGGGGGGGGGCAATATACTTTTGTTTAAAGCATAAAACTCAACTGCTTTCGGTAGAAGTTGACATTAGTTTTTGATAAATTATTCTTCCAAAATGTGCAGGCGATAGAGAAACAAATGATAGTAGTTAAAAACAATTTTCTAAAACGAAATTTGAATCTAATTTTGGGGGGTTCGAACTGTTCTATAGTATCCATTTCATTTGTTGCCACAAAAATTATAAACATTATTAATTTAGTGATTGGAAAATTGAAGTAATATTAATTAGCAAAATTTAAGTGATTTGTTCTTTATTATAATTTCTAAACGTAATGAGTAAAGGTTCTCAGATTCCAACATTCAGTTTGTACGTTGGTTAAAACCTGTGACGTAATGTAACCGATTAAAGGTTGGATAATCCTATTATCCTACATGGGCTGAACACAAATATTGCACGCGAGCGACTTTGGTTCCTAGGTATTCGAGGGCTTGTTGTTGTCATGCAACCGGCTATACCATTGAAACTTTATAACACATTAGCGATCGCAAAGTAGGCCTAACGTGAATTAAGCCTATTTCGTGCTCACTAATACGTTTCCGTGATACTTTCTAACAGATATTTCTATATTATATGAACTCCTGCCTTCCTAAGTTCTACAAGAATACTAGATACTCTATTTGTCTTTCTTTCTCTTTACTTTTCTTAGATAACTTTATTAAAAAAATAACATCCAAACTGAAATTTTTGTTAGGGTTAACTTTCGGCTCAGTTGATCCTTAGACGTTTTTGGACTTTGCAAGCTAACGTACAGTTTACCTAATTTATCATTTTCGTAAAATAAAATTGGTTTCAGATCTAGTGTAGTGTACAAAATTTATGAAAGTGTTTTGGAATTGATTATATTCCTCCATTATAGTAGTTTTTGTAGTCTCTACAGGAATAAAGTATGTCAAACAAAAAACAACATGCAAATAGTGAATTAATAGCAACACTTGGAAATATTTTTATTCTAATAACATTCAAACCTTGTTAACTCTAATTGGAAATTATGAAAAATTCAAATATATTCGGTGTTTTGGCTTTTTATATTTTAATGAATATATAAAATCTAAGAAAGAAAATTATTTGAACATGTGTTATTTACAACCGTAAGACTTCAAACCGTTTAATCTATCAAGCTTCACATTTGTCAAACCCCACTTTTTCCTTTTTTGGTAATCGGCATATTTTTCTCTTAATGGAACCTATTAAAAACTCTTAAGTTGAAAACGAATTAAACAAAACTATTAATCTTCTAGATGTTTTATTATTCTATTTTCTCATACCAAATAAATGACTTTGTATTAAAGTATTTGTATTTATGGCAATCCCCCGGTGGTTCAGCGGTAAGTCCGAGGCTTATAACGCTTAAAATCGGATTTTGATACCCGCGGTTGTCAGAGAACAGATTGCCCATTGTGTACCTTTGCGCTTAACAACAAGCAGACAAAAAATATTTATAAGAAAGCAACCTGCCGCCGTCCTTAATTTTGAACTACTGACCAGAATGAAAGCAGCAATCATCAGCTCCACGCTAAGTAATTGACTGTCACTCTTATAATTCATCCACAGCTTAAAGTAGGAATATTTTGAGGTATCGCATGGATTCGAAGCCGATTCACTAGTTCCGAAATAAGGAGTTCTCACACAGAGCCAATGCAAACACTTTAAATTTAAGATTTGTTTTCAATTGTACTCTTTAATACTCAGTATCATTTAAAATGTACAATTCTTAACACAACGCCAACAAACACTTATAAAGATTTTGAAATATATTTTGATGGAAATTGCGTTTAATTTTTGAGTATAACGTTTCGTTCATAAAAGTGAGAAATGGACATTTATCATTTTCAGAGAAACGTTGTACTCAACAAATAAATGCAGTGTTTCTACCAAAAGCCGTTTAAAGAACTTTATATGTGTTCAGTAATTAAGTGGGTACCTCTTAAAAAAGAAAATCAGCAAGTATTGATAAAACATTTATTTTTTAAAGATAGAAAAGACTGAACGAACTAATAAATAATTGAAATATTATAAATGAGCCTTGATGTATATATATTAGGTCCATATGTAACTGTTCGGTATACTATGTCTTTCTTTTTTAACTTTTTTTTTATTATAATGTATATTCGAAATTGGCATACGCTACTCATGATTTATTTGTAGTTAACCTTTTCAGCCTAAATTGTAGCGATGGTTGAGTATATACAAGCAAAGAAAGAAGATTTTGCGATTTAATGTGAATAATAAACTAACTGTTTTTGAAATGTTCCCGCTTAATGATCACATCTGCCTTTGATGGCAATACTTATATATTATTACCACATCCATAACGTTAAACGATCTGCATTTCTATTTTTGTGTATGTCTAAGAAACAAATATGCCAGATGATGGCCTACTATTCAACAAAACATTTTCATTGATATTTAAGCTCAGTTGTTTAAAATGATGTATGTTTCAACCTGACGCATTACATCCTAGACTCTTGATTTAAAACTATGATGCAATTTTTCTTTGAATTCTTATTCTTATAAAGGCTATTTTCTATCCACACATTATTTTATTGATTTCGTAAGTAAAATGGCTTTTTTTTATATAATAACGTTTAAACCTCCTCACGTACCTTTCTGACGAACTTCACTGTCTCTATTATGAAATAAATATATCATCATTAACAAACTTTTCTCATCAAGTTTTGATATTCGTATAGAGGGATTCTACCTAACCATCAGAAACTATTCGTCATCACCTGGATGATAAAAAGTAGTCGAATTCTCAAGGAGGAACATGCTTTCCGTAAATGAGTGGATTGAGGGTTGGAATATCTTATTTCGTGTGTATTGTCCTCTTGGACGTTTTTATTGGACCTGCATAGGAAAAGTTTTTTGTTTTTATTTCCCTCTGAGAATTGGAACATCAGTTTATGTTTACAATCACTTATTGGAGAACCCATCGGTATACATATTGTCTGTATTCAGATCATAAAAACAAGAAACAAACATAGAAAATGTCAGATATTTTTGTAGGCATCGTTTGTCTACCATCTGGAAAGTTTCTTCTGAGAGAAGAGATTGATAAGTGTTTTCATTCCAATGTAATTGAATCCTCCATATATTGAAGATTGTCAATCAAATTTCTCTCCTAACGGGAAGAACGAATTGGTCATATTTACTGTTCGTTTCCGCTGACAGACCCGGAAACCGGTAGAAAGACGAGCGAGCGGTTGTTCCGATTGCCTTGCTGGTATAGAAGCTTTTGAGAGAACCTAGCACTGATAATAGGAAAATGTGATGTTTTTGGTGCGTTACATTTCCATATTGATTAGTGTACCTATGCCAAAGCTTATCAGTCGTTACAGTTGAAAGTAAATCTAGTAGGTTGTATGTGTTTTCCAAGAGACTAATATTCATGAACGTGAACTTCATTATATCCTATGGGCGACATGATGGGCTCCCATTACACGCAAAATATAGAGAACGTATTAATCATTTGTGACGCGCTTGAGAAACATGTGTGTTTAGGCGCACATACAGTGAGGCCTAAAGTTTGTTTTTCCACCACTAGCATAAACGGCACACTAAAAGGAATGGGTTGGGTTTGATCGTAACTCAGACGAGAGACATGCTAGACCATAAAACCGTCATATCCTCTCTCTAAGCATACATTACGACGCTATGCTAAATTCAAAGGCATATATACTAGAGGAACAAGTAAACTCAAAACTACATTATCCCGTCATAAAAGACAATTTATTTTCTAACACCGCACTAATCCATATATAGAATAACGAAATGTACGGAAAACGGAATGAACGACTATTTTTTTTATTACATCGTAAAATATGTTAGATGTGAGGAAACACAAGAGGTTTCTGTAAAAGGACGTAGTTAAGAACTTTTTCCAATTTTGGCGTTTTACATGCTTATTGGCAATAGTATGGAAAAGCTATAGTTTTGGATAAATGATATGATAAAGGGTTTACATGACGTTAAAGATACGTAGTTCTTGATGTACCAGACGTAGATAACTCGATAGTTCATAGGTAATTTCTGTCATCAAATTTATTGAATCTAACGCTTATATATGTGGATTTCAGTATGTTATGTGTGCTTTTCTACTTACGGTTTTATGACATTTATTTTTACTTACGAAACCAAAAAAAAAAAAACGTGAAAATTTCGACCTGCTTTTAAACCCCTCCTCTATCATTGTGTTAAACAATTAAACTGGTAACCTTCTGTTTAGAATCTACCTCAGGCAACAACAACAACAAACAAACAACATTTGACATGTACAGTTCGTTTATTGTGCGTAAACACACATACATGGAGATGGGTAAGTTGATATCTATGAATATGTTTTACATGAAAGCGCAATCATATTTGAAAGAGAAAAAAAAACTAAGCCTAAATTTCTAAACCTAAGCCTAAATTTCGGAAACTCAGTTACATGTGCCTTAACCATAAATTTCAGCACTTTTCAGATGTTTGTTGTAATATCTGCTAGTTGTTTTATATACATTGGTCCTGTATTTATGCGAGATGATGAAAATTCATTAAAATAAACTGTATGATGAGTTTCTGTGAGATGATGAATCATCAAAAGCTGTATTTATAATAAAATATGCCGTTTTCGGTAAGAAGTATGGTCATAATTTTCTTGTTTTCTTAAAAGTATGAGGGAAATATGATCCTTACAGAGCCCCCTGCGGCACAACGGCAAGTCTGAAGGCTTATTAATGCCAATAACTGGGTTTCGATACTTGTGGTGGGCATAGCACAGATACAAACAAACATTCAATATGGTCTAACTGTTCGTTAGTAACTGAGTAACAATAAGATTTGTCAATGCGCAACTAGGTGTCCACATCTTAAAGATAAAGTAATTTTTGTTGTTGTTTTGTAGTCGGATATTTGTCACCAAAGTGTCTACGAACTTGTGCACTCCGAAGACCGAGAAGAACTACAGCGCCACCTCATGTGGAATTCCCGTTTATCTGCAGATCATAGTGGTCTCTCATTGCAAGAAATTTTATCATCAGGTTTGTACTTTTCTCGTAAAGTTGGAAAAAATAACCAAATCGAATTTTATATGTCGATGATTATAAAGGTAGTAATAAATTATTGGAACTATTTGAAGAGTGTGACTTACATATAGCCTTTAACACAAAGGTTTACAAACAAACAAAACTTGTGTTAGGAATACTTACTTGTGAGTTTGCTATTTTCATTCAGATGTGTATATCATTTTTTTTTCTGGGTTCCGCATTTGCCTGACAGAAGTATATATATATATATACACACACACACACATATATACATATATATACATACACACACACACACATATATATATACACACACACACACATATATACATATACACATACATATGTACATATATATATATACACACACACATATATATATATACACATACATATGTACATATATATATATACACACACACACATATATACACACACATATATACATATATATATATATATGGTTTAAAGGGGATGGGAGAATGCGCAACTCTGTAATTAACTACATGTTATGTATGTATGTATCGAATTAAATATTTGTTATGTCTCTTCGTGAACTGTATATTTATTTCTGTGTAACGATCTCTCATGACATTATAGTCGTTGCTGTTTTTTTTTTCATGGAATATTTGCTACTTACTTACATTTTATAATTAACCGGGTAGTTTCTGACACAACTGTTTCCTGCTCTGTCAAAACCTGCTGCGTTTGACGCCCTCTCGCCAGCATATGACTCATTCTGCTTCACATAGAGAATATTCAGGGTGCACGTAGAGGTGTGCAAATCAGACATATCATACTGTCAAAATCAAGAACGGATTTGGCAAGAAAATGAGTGCTTGTTGAGATTTGTGAGCACCTAGGCAGGTGTACAGTGCTGCACACTCCCGCCGGTAGACGGATCAGGCGGTACCGTATCTATGGTAACAAGGGAACCGTTAACCTGTCGGCAACGTGGAAAAGCGATCTTTGTAGTCTCCAGAGAGTTCACCATAAGTTTTGTTAACTCAGGACAGTTGTTGATACACACACGACAAGTAACACTCACCAGGCGCACGTAATCTCAAAATCCAATGACGCTGTGTTCGAGAATAGTTTGACTACCAGGAGATATCGAACCTCGCTTATCATTAATTAATCAACGGGTGTTTTACACATATTAACCGTCCTATTGGTTGTTACATTGCGATCTCAAACGAACAGCTGTAATTTTCTTTATGTTCCCGTGACTCAAGCATCGAAACCTAATAAATAAATAAAGAAGAATCAGCCTATTGGTGAGCGTCTTCTATCAGATTTCTTTGTTGTAAAGTAGACGATCCCAATACGTGAAAATAGAGAACACCGTTATTTGTATATATAACTGACGTAAGAGGTTATCCTTACGATTTCTCTAGTACTTTCAATACCACGTGTCTGCCGAAACGATTTACGCAGAACAATCATCTTCGTCACGTGTAAGTGAACGATGATTCACAAGATTTAATAGCACACATGCAGAATTAATAACCAACATGTAATTAAAGTACACTGAAAATTATATATAAAACATGCCCGGTGGTTCTGATGTAAGTTCATCCATCCCTAACTTTTTCACCACACAAGAACAAATGGGAAAGTTTACTTTGACAATACTACAAAAACATGCTTGTTCACCCGAGACAACATTAGTAGCCAAACTATATATTTGTACTTTAAGTAATCGCCGATTTTCGAAATGCGAACGTTAGATTTTCAGTTAAAGATTTCAGTGGCATAGCTGTATGCCTGCGGACTTACAATGCTAGAATACGGGTTTCGATACCCGTGGTGGGCAGAGCACAGATAGCCCATTGTGTAGCTTTGTGCTTAATTACAAACAAACGTTATAGAGGAAAATATTTCCTACTTCAAATAAAACATTTTTTTCATCAATTGCTATGATAAGCAGAGCTGGTAATGCTTTGTATGATAAGCAAAGCTAGTAATGCTTTGTAATCTTGAATTATTTAATAGTATAGGTCATGTCTTTTGTTATTATAAAGAGAAATGTAGAATTTACCCTCACAAATACAAATAACGTTGTGTTTTTTAGCACTGCTTTCTTGGTCTGCAGCAAAGCCCACATAAAGCGCTTACATTCTATTACTTAGCGGTAAATATAAAACGATTTCAAAAAATATAATCTCTTGTGTCTCCAAATGAGTTTTTATACCGAAGGATACGTAATACGTTTATCAACAAACACACGCTGATAATCATTATTTTATTAAATAACGCGTTATACTTTGTAAAGAAACTCACCCTTCCGATTATAGTGTTTTCAGATGAAGTGAAAACTATTAATAAAACATTTTTATAACTAGTAGAAACGACGCCCTATGAGCGACTGTTTGTGCTAGTAATGAATAATCATAGTATTCATACTTCGTTCAAAAAAATTTAGACAAGTGAACATATTTTAAAAAGGATCTTTTTTTTTCTGGGAAGTACTGCACAGAAAAAGTGTTCGGATTGAGCTCTTTAGTCATACGCAACTCATTGCATCAAAATGATTCAATGTACAGAGCTCAAAATTTTCATAATTTTACTGATATAAACTGTAATGTTTTTATATATTAAAAGTGGTACCGTTTAGTGAAAAATAATAGTTTTTTTTAAGAACTCCAGTTTCTCAGTACTACATTTAAGAATTACATCAATAAAGATATAATCAAACCCTCACGTAAAGTTCTAGTGCAAGTCGTGTTCTTGTTGTGAGAAGAATACTTTCATTTACAATTTGGTTTTAAATAAATGGTTGTTACACACACCACAGCTATTCTTCTAAGTGTCCGAATCTTCAATACCCAAAGCGTGAAATTTTTTATGGATTTTTGTTTGTGGTACCATTCAATAGATAGGGGAGAAGTTTTGGTTACATACATAGATACTGACATACATACTACGTACATTATAGTAAGATTATAATATCATTAATAGTATATAATTTTTTTTAACAAACACGTATTTTGATTATTATGTTATTACATAGTATATAATTTTTGTTAACGAACAAATAACTTGTAATTATTTCATTATTACACGTTCGATAACGACTCCTAACAAACAAACTCTTGTGATGGCTTTGTTATTGCTTAGTGTGTGTGTGTAATATTTGTTAATAAACATGATTTATAATATTATTGTTTGTACAGCAAAACACTTAGAAGACTTAGAACGAAACTTCACGGTAAGATTTCGATGTCTTCTGGACAACACCTCAGGGTTTTTGGTAAGTTTGTCAAGCATGTCATTAATAATACGCCACACTTTAGCTGAGGTTTATTTAGCTCACAATTTTAATAATAATAATATATCTTAATTATTACTAGCATCATTATAATCAGGTCCTTAATTACAACTTTGTTCACAACACGTAGTGAAATGTATGTGGTATATACTAACACATTGTGCCCTAATAATTCTGATATTTGGATAATTCTGAAAGAATCCAATCTCACCTTATGTTTCTATAATACTTGTCTAACCACGTAACAAATAATACATAATAATAATTAATAGCATCATTATAATCAAGCGCGTATTTATTATAAGTTTGTTTACAGAATCTAGTTTATGAAACAAGCAGATAATGAAATGTATATGCCATTTACTGATGGGTTTTTCCATACTAATTCTGCTATTGAGAATATTTAACGAAAAACTCCCTCTCTTACCACCTCCTATAGTATCTTTGAATCGCATTTTGATTTATCATTTTCTTAGGATCTTGCAACGGGCCTTTAGAATTAAGACTTTTCTTTGTACCTGATATTCGATTTAACAGTTAAACCTTAAACTAATATATTTGTCTCGAAATATGTTTTAAAGCGACTGGATATCCGTGGAAGGATCAAAATTCTACACGGTCAACACCACAAAACTGAAGACCCACCCCTGGCTTTATTTGCTGTCTGCACGCCGTTCGGTCCCCCGTCGTTGTTGGAGATGCCTCACAAGGAATCCATGTTTAAGAGCAAACACAAACTCGATCTCTCTCTAGTCTCCATGGATCAGAGGTTAGGCGTTTTGTAACTTTTAGTGAAATGGAGATTGTTTGTTTTTTCTGTTTTTAAATTCATAACTACGTTCAAATTATAATGTCGCCAGTTATTACTCTGTTCTAAATTTATGGTAGTGACAATAATGTGTATAGATTGTCTCTGGACCACTTTTCATAGGCAGTTTTTTTATATAATTGTTATAACCATTGCCCATGACGAGTAAACAAACCAACAAACTAAACATACAGCTAGAAACAGAGCCACTATTCTTAATGTCACAGACAAAACTAAACATATAGCTAGAAACAGGGCCACTGTTCTCAATGTCACAGACAAAACTAAACATATAGCTAGAAACCGAGCCACTATTCTTAATGTCCAGACAAGACTAAACATATAGCTAGAAACAGGGCCACTGTTCTTAATGTCACAGACAAAACTAAACTTATAGCTAGAAACCGAGCCACTATTCTTAATGTCAGAGACAAGACTAAACATATAACTAGAAACCGAGCCACTATTCTTAATGTCACAGACAAGACTAAACATATAGCTAGAAACCGAGCCACTATTCTTAATGTCACAGACACGAACTAAACATACAGCTAGAAACCGAGCCACTATTCTTAATGTCACAGACAAGACTAAACATATAGCTAGAAACCGAGCCACTATTCTTAGAGCCGGAAAAAAGCTAAACCTATAGCGGGTGGTTCAGTGGTAAACATAAGGGCTTATAATGCTAAGAATAGGGGCTCGATTCCCACTGTTAGTACAGCGTAAATACCCCAAACAAGCAAATACAAAAGAATCAATTAAAACTACACAGTGGTTATCTCCTTCAAACACCCCTCATTTGGAATGTGGCAAGCAAAGAGCGACCACTAACAACTGTAGTCAAGTAGTGGGATTTGACTATAAGAGCGATTTTCCGGCAAGGGATCTCAGAACATGGATCCTTGGATTCAGTCTCATATGCTAATCACTTATCCGCGCCTTGCCTTTACTAATACAAATATAAAGGGTACAGGAGAGCTACTTTTATTAATTTGGACCTATACCAAAATTATAACTGTATTTTTCATATAATGTCTAAATATTCAATTTTCGCGAATTCACGGAAATCATTTGATGAAATTATGGTTAACTACCTAACTTTCTCATCCTGGAATCTATGCACGGGGATTTTCCACTTATATCATTTCTGGTCACATTAATATGTACTTCCAATCCAGATTATCAAAACTCACAGTTTTTTACAAACCTTACAAACAAGTCGGCCGAATTAAAACGAGAAAAAAAAAGGTAACAACAAAGGAATCATCCACCCCAAAAAAAAGAAAAACAACAAATCAAAACTCTCAAAAGTTATTTTTATCAAGTTATCCCAATGGTACACCTAATAGTTCACAATAGATTAATATATCGTTGGCTCAGTTGCAGTGCTTTAAGTTTTATATTTTCAGAAGTGAATTTGTGTTTCATATCAAGAGTACACCTATAGCTTTACTATTAGAGAATGTAAACGCTTATAATAACTTTATTCTAACCTAATTCACTTATACTCACCGAAATGTATAAGCAAAACTTACAATTTTCGCTTATATAGAAAATAAGCTTCATCATTATGATAACTATCATAAAATACTTGTTCTCTGTTGCAAGGTTCAAAGGCCCTCTCAGAGACCCCAATCTACCCATCAAGCTCCTCCATTGCCCAAAGTTATTTATATAAGTACCCCCAAGACAAACTACATTGGTG